GACCGTGACCGTCCCCGCGGTCGCGGAGGGCGGCCGCGGCGACGAGCTCGCGGGCGACGGGGGCGCCAGGCAGAGCGGGAACGCAATCTATATATAGCTATGTATATATATATATATATACGCAGGCTGACGCCGTGACCCGCACATGCCAATCAGAACAGGCTGCACGCCTCGCCCGACGCCCGCGCATGCAGGCTGACGCCGCGCCGCCGCCGATCGAATCGCACGCGTGCGCGCATCAATCATGAGTTCGCAGCCATCAAACACTCGAACGCATCAAAATTGACAAAAAAAACACGAGTTTGTCAATTTCAACATAAAACAAGAGTTAGTCAATTTTCGCAATAAACAATAAAGTTAGTCAATTTTCAACAAAAGACAAGTACGTAGTCAATTTTGTTAACATAAACACAAAGTTTGTCAATTTCATGTGTTTTCAACATTGACTTCATTTTAGTCCTTTCCATCCTCAGGGTTATGTTTAACATATGACGTTAGTTTCAATATGTTGTTTTCATACGCACGTCAGTTTATGGTTTCATGTGATGTTTATGGTTGATATCATGTGCACGTCATAATCTAAATTTCAAGGACCTCTGGGTCTATCCAGCGGGGCCGGAGGCGGTGCTGGACCGGGCGAAGCCCGACGACTTGATATTGACGGAATCGAGGACGCGCGAGGGCGGGGGGGTGGCTGGGCGGGCGCTCATCCTGGACGAGCTGTCGAGCGCCACCATCGAATCGCACAGCCCGGGCCGGAACAGGTGGCACTTGCGCGGGGCGCGCGGCGCGGGCCCGGGAGGCCCCGGGAGGTCGCCCCGGACACCGGGGGGAGCGATTCGAGGAGGGGCCGGCCCGTCGCGCGCCTGTCCAGGCGCGGCCGCGAGCAGGCCGGCGCATTCAAGTATCATTACTTTGGGTGCGGGTTCTATAAAACACTATATATAGCCATTGTGCACTATAGGATCCTATCAACATGCGTTAAGATTATCCTGGCGAAGGACCCAACCATATGCAAACGTGAATACCGCAGGGCAGGTGGGACGAAGCAAAAGGAATTCCCAATGTGGCCACGAACCGTGTGAGGGGTGCGCCACACTGGGGCGGGGCCGCCATGCGAACCCTGCCACTGAGGCCTTCGGTGGAGCTCCCTATGTCCCTGCGGGGCCACGAACCGTGTGAGGGGTGCGCCACACTGGGGCGGGGCCGCCATGCGAACCCTGCCACTGGGGCCTTCGGTGGAGCTCACTATGGGGCCACGAACCGTGTGAGGGGTGCGCCACAATGAGGCGGGGCCGCCATGCGAACCCTGCCCCTGGGGCCTTCGGTGGAGCTCCCTATGGGGCCACGAACCGTGTGAGGGGTGCGCCAAAATGAGGCGGGGCCGCCATGCGAACCCTGCCACTGGGGCCTTCGGTGGAGCTCCCTATGGGGCGACGAACCGCGTGAGGGGTGCGCGAAAATGAGGCGGGGCCGCCATGCGAACCCTGCCACTGGGGCCTTCGGTGGAGCTCCCTATGGGGTCACGAACCGTGTGAGGGGTGCGCCAAAATGGGGCGGGGCCGCCATGCGAACCCTGCCACTGGGTCGCGGGCATAGGATCCCGAGGTGGATAGGAGGGCTGGGGCGGCAGGGCCAGGCGCCCCCATCTGGCGCGGGCGCGGGCGCGCGAGGGGGGCCCCGCGGCCTGCCCCGCGTGGCGGATGCGCCAGAGGAGTCCGAGGGCTGCGACCGCGGCGAGGCGCCGGGCCGTGAACTCGCGCCCGCACAGGCCAGACCTGTCGAGCCCAATTGGCTCGCGAGGGGTATAGTCGACTAGGCGTAAGAGTGACCTTTCGCCACAATGACCCTTGGCGCGGGCCCAAAGCGCCCCTCCGTTCGCCATGCGCGATGCGGCAGCAGCGTCTTGCGCGCTCGCGCTTGCCCCCCCCCCCCCCGCCCCCGCGGCCTCCAAAAAGCTCCGCGCCAAAGGTCTCTCTTGCCCAGGGTCACTCTTGAGCGCAGTCGAGAAAGGCTTCGCCCTCCTCCGCCCCCCCATCGCCGCCGCCTGCGTCGCCGCCGGGCGGGGGCGGGGGGCGGGGGCGAGGGCGGCCTGAGGGGTCAGCCCAGGAGAGGGTCCGACCACGATCCGCCGAGGATGCGTGGGGCGGATCTGGGTGGCGCAAATTCGGGCGTACGTCAGAACCGAGGGTCTCCTTGCATGGCGCATCCCCGTCCTCTGTCCTCCGTTGACCTCCCTGCTGCGCCGCTGTAATTTCGCTCGAGGTCCGCGGGGGCCGCGGGATCTTTTTCGGGGCAACACTTATCCGCGCTCAGGCTCGGCGGGGCGAGGCCCCCTCCGAGTTCCCTCGGCGGCACTAGCCGCGCAGCGGCTGGCGCGCCGCCCCCCCCCCCCCCCGCGCTCGGACAGGGTTGGCCTGCCGAGCGCCGCCGGCTCGCGAGGGGAAAAGGGTTCGCCCTCGTTTGCGTCGCCGTCAAGATGAGGACGAGGAGGAAGGTGGGGGCGCCCCGTGGTTTCAGCCCACGAGGGCATCCGACCCCGATCCGCCCAGGGTGTGAGGGGCGGAGCTGAGTAGAGGAAGCGGGGCGCTTTGGGGGGGTCTCGGGGCCCACTTTGGCATTTGGGAAGTCATCGATCGCGCGTGGGGTGGGGGGTCCTGCATCTAGGCCCCCCCCGTCTCATGGGGCGCTCTTGGGGCACTCTCGGGGCCCTCTCGGGGCTCTCTTGGGCCGTCTCGGGGCTGTCTTGCGGCCCCAAACGCACGTCGCAAGCGAAGAGGCGAGAAGGCAACAGTCATCGCTTCCCCTTCGGTTTTGAAGGGCGTTGGCCTCCTGGGAGGGTCGGTGCCAGCGGGGTTCCGAGAACGCTTGGGTCCGTCTTGGAGCGGCATGTGGGGCCTCTTAGATCAGATTAGAAACCCGATAGAACAATCTTCTGCCATTTTGAGTCATCTTGGATCATCGGGCGGCCTCTGGGGACCATCTTGGGCGCCCTGACCGCTCGCAGAACCCGTCAAACAACTCTACGGAGGTGGGGGGGGGGGGGGGGGGGCACCCCACCCCGAAGGGAAGGGTTTTTTTTGCAAGAGTCAAGAAGAATACCGTTCGACCGCCTACGCCCAGAGGGCCGATGGACGGACGGCGGCCTCGGGAATGCGAGTTTGGCATGTTATGCAAGAGGGTCTTGGCCTGAGTCGCGCGAGCGTGGCGCAACTTACGCAAGGTTGTGGTCTCTGAGAATCCCAGGGCACCCCCTGACATTGAAAGCACGCGATTTTCAAAAAAGGGGGCCGCGGTCGTCGCGCGGATCGGAAGTGTTACAGCATTCGCGGAGGAACATACACATCCGTTCATGTCTCATGCTTTGGAGCTGGATCGATTGCCGGAGACAGGAAGGCCTACGCCGCCCCCCAGGGATCCGGCGCATATTGTAATGGCTTCCGGCCAGAGCGCGCCGATCCGGGACCTTTCCGTTGCTGTCGGATGCGCGCGGTGTCATGACTGGCGACGACGGCGAGCGGTTGGGATGACGATGAGGATTGAGAATGGAGGCAACGGAATAGGAGGAGGAGGAGGAGGAGGAGGAGGAGGAGGTTCATGATGAGGTGGAGGGGGTGGGAGGGGAGGGCAGGAGTAGGAGGAGAAGCAGGAGGAAACGGGAAGTGGAAGAGGGGGCGGGGGAGCAGGAGGAGCATGACGAGGGTGAGGAGATTTTCTGCGGTTTTGGGGGATGTTCGGCGGATGTTGGAAAGCCTATTTGGGGCTAGGTGTTGGCCTTCTTTGGGTTGACACCTCGCCGATTCGGCGCACTTTCTGAAAAACTTAGTGGTAGAGCTGTCTGCGTCACAGTTCTCCGTGGAGCCTTGTGCATCGCGGGGCTCTGCTGGGAACCATTGTGTTTTTTTGGGGTCGCTGGGGCCTTCGCGTGGTCCTCTGCATGCCCTTGTGAGATCGTGGACGTGAAGGACACCGAAAACGGGAGAATCCGTGAAAGCGTGGAAGACCCTTTTGTTTTGCAGCGCTTGTGTTCAGTCGTAAGCGCCGCGGAAACCTTGGGGCCGGTTTTGAGCTTCGCGGGGGGGGTCTTGGAGGCAGACTGGATGCCTTTAGAAGGCGTCCTGGATGCATTGTTTGAAACTCTTGGGGGCCTCTAGGGAGTTTCAGGGGGCCTCTTCGGGGCCAGTTGGAAATCTTTGAAGGCCCAAAAGACGAATATGTTAGCGTTTCATTTTTTTCCCCCTCTCCAATTTCGGAGTGGGACACTTTTTGTGTTTTTGGGGCCTTCTTTGGGAGACCTTGTCAGGGCTTATGAGGGCATCTTGCAGGTTTTTGGAACCGTCTTGGGGACATCCTGATCGTTTTGTAGCGGTCGTTCGGCGACTCGGGGCCCTCTTGGCCCGTGTTGGGGCCCTCTTGGGCGAGGGGGCCGCCCCAAAGTGAGCTGGAGCCCCGATTCCTCCCGGGGAATTAAATCAACACCCCCTCTACCCCTACCCCGGCAGAGCCACCCCGGCACCCACCCCCCAGATGAAGTTCAGGAATTAAGGCTCCGGTTGTTCTGAGGGTCTTTCAAACGCACACGCCGGATCGGCGGATTTGTCTTTTCCCAACAGCATTGCCGTTTGTGTTGGCAGCGGCGTCTTTGGAAAGCCCCACACGAGGCGCAAACGATGAGAAAGTTGTTTTGGCCAAGTTTTCTGCACACCCCGCTCCTGAGCCCCCTTCAGCTCCCGAGCGCCCTTCCCGCCTTTCACTCCGCTCGGGCTGGCGGTCATAGAGAAAAAAGGCCCCAAAGGATCTTTCCAGGGCCCTTGTTAGAGCCAGCGGGAACCCAAGAGGGGCCGCAAAGGGTGCCCTTAGGGCCTTTTTTTGTTTACCCCCAAAGAGGGCCCCTCAATGGCCCGTTCTGGGCCGATGAGGAGACCCCCCCATGACCACCCGCCCGAGCCTGCCCGGGCCGAGCCCGCTCTGGGGCCGCCCGGGCACTGTCCGCTGGCCAGGCGCGCCGTCGCGGACGTGGCGGGCGGCGCGCCCGCCTCGGGGCTCGCAGCCTGGCGCGCGTCGCAGCAGGGGCGCGGGACCTAGTTGCGCGGGCCTCCCGCTGGGGTGGCGCTGAGGAGCGGCAATGCTTCGCACGCCGCCGTTGATGGGCCAAGTGTCCACCACCGTTGCCACAGGTAAGACGGGGGAGAAGGGAGGATGGGGAGGTCCTCCTCTTCCTCTTTCTTCTTCCCCTCTCCTCCTCCTCCTCCTCCTCCTCCTCCTCCTCCTCCTCCTCCTCCTCCTCCTCCTCCTCCTCCTCTTCCTCCTCCTCCTCCCTCCTCTCCTCCTCTCCTCTCTCCTCCCTCCTCCTCCTCCTCCTCCTCCTCCTCCTCCTCCTCCTCCTCCTCCTCCTCCTCCTCCCTCTCCTACCTGTGGTAATGGTGGTGGAAAGTCGACCCATCAGGCGTTCGTGCTGGACGGGTTCGGCCTCGCAGATACTTTCAGGTACGGGTAGCGTTCATATCATATGGCAGGCCTCCAAGATTGCTCGAAGTGGTCCAAAATGGCTTCCAGGATGGTCCCAACAGGCCAGCCTTCATAGAAGCAGCCCAACAGGTCCCGCGAGGACCCCAAGAGAAACCCGAGAGGTCGTCAAGGGGGAGCTCCAATGGCGCTCTGGAGAACTACCAGAACCCGAGTATGCCCGAGCAGCCGACGTTGGCCGCCTTAGGGCTCCAACTGGGCGAGGAGATCGGGGTAACCGTTCGTCTTGTCGTTGCGTCGAGTTCCCGCCAATCACCAATATTAGCCAGCGTGGACCCCAAACAGCGAGCTATTACACTGGGAAGGTGAAAGCTGTGTGGTGTGAGCTAGGTGGTGCGAGCTGTGCAGTGGAAGCCGTACAGCTTCAGCTATGCAATGTGTGCCCCATGTGTTGTGACTTGTGCGGTCAAGCTCTGTGGTGCAGGGTACGCGGTGTAAAGCTATGCGGTGCCAGCTATGCGGTGTGATGCACGTTGTGCAGGGCACGGGGCGCCCACGAGCGGGAACGCCGCGACGCCTCGGGAGACACACCCCTCGCACAGAGCGCCCACCGGGCGCGCACGAGGGGCGGCGGGGGCGCGGAGTGCGCGGGAGCGCTGCGGAGAACCTCTGGACGCGGGCCCGGCGCCCACGGGGCGCCCACGGCGCGGGCGCACGGGGCGCCCACGAGCGGGAGGGGGAGGAGGAGGAGGAGGAGGAGCAGGAGGAGGAGGAGGAGGAGGAGGAGGAGGAGGATCGGAGGAGGAGGATGGAGGAGGAGGAGAGAGAGGAGGAGGAGGAGGAGGAGGAGGAGGAGTAGGTGAGGAGGAGGAGGAAGGAGGAGGAGTGAGGAGGAACACGGAGGAAAGAGAGACGGGCACGGGGCGCCCACGAGCGGGAACGGGGCGGCACCCCTGGAGAAACCCGCCCAGCGCCGGGGGCAGCCCACGAGGCGCCCAGGGGGCGGGCCCGAGGCGCCCACGGGCTCTCATCGCGGCGAAGCCCTGGAAAAAAACCCGCGCGGCGACTCCTCTTCCTCCTCCTCCCCCTCCTCCTCCTCTTCTCCACCACTGCCTCCTCCTCCTCCGCCTCCTCTCTCCTCCACTACTGCCTCCTCCTCCTCCGCCTCCTCCTCCTCCTCTTCCTCTCCTCCCCCTCCTCCCCCTCTCCTCCTTCTCCTCCTCCTCCTCCTCCTCCTCCTCCTCCTCCTCCTCCTCCTCCTCCTCCTCTACAGTTACTCAATATGAATACTATTCCCCCTCTTCCCATGATGACGGCTTGGGAGTATTCGACCCCCCCCGCGTATTGTTTTTTACACACAGGTTTCCCCTGAGTTGGGTTTTCGCTTGCATTCTTTTCTAAAATGCTGCTCTCGCTGAGGCGCCGGCCTCATTTTCGGGCCCCGCTCGTTCCGAATCGCTCCCGCTGCAGCGCTTGCATTATTTCTGCTGGCGCCCGGAAGCTTCCGGGCTGCACGCCGGCGCCCGGGCCGGCGCTCGGGCCGGGTCCGGAGCCGGTTCCGGCCGCCGCCAGAAAATCGAGTTCCGAGGCGGCGCCGAAAAAAGGCCATTCTAATACATAGTATTTCTTTTGAAAATTCTGAATTTCTGCTTCCGGCGCCTGGGACCTCCCGGGCCGATTCCGACGCCCGGGCCGGCGCCCGAGCCGGCGCCCGGGCTGGACGCCGAGCCGGGCCGGGCCGGCGCCCGGGCCGGGTCTGGCGCCGGTTCCAGCCAGCGCTGGAAAATCGAGTTCCGAGGCGGCGCCGAAAAAGGGCGATTCCAATACACATGTTCTTTTGGAAATGCTGAATTTCTGCTTCCGGCGCCCGGGAAAAGCCTCCCGGGCCAATTCTGGCGTGCTTCCGCTCGTTCCGAATCGTGCTCCCGCTGCAGCGTTGGCCGCCATTTCCGCGCTTCCGCTCGTTTCGACTCGTGCTCCCGCTGCAGCGCTGGCGTCATTTCCCGTGCCATGCCACGGCATGCAATGCAATGCTAGGTTGGTACTACGCTTCGCGGTGCTCTTCTACGCCATGCCATGCCGTGCTCTACAATGCATCGCGTACCCTTTCAGGATCATTGCCCTGCTCAACATCCGACTCTGCGAGTAGAGAGGGGATCTGCGAAGGGATGGGAGGGAGGGGTATGATGTCAGAATGGCGCGAGCGCACCTAGCTTGTCCTCCTCTTCCTCCCCCTCCTCCTCCCCCTCCTCCTCCCCCTCCTCCTCCTCCTCCTCCTCCCCTCCTTCTCCTCCTCCTCGGGCGAAGGCCTGGAGGCGCCAGCGCTGCGCACGAGGCGGCCCGCGGCGCGGCGCCCGCGCGCGAGGCGGCCCGCGGGCCACCGTCGCCCCGAGGCGCCCGCGCGAGGCGTCCGCTCGGCGGCGACGCGGCGAGCGCCCCGCGCGGGCGTTCGCGGGGGGGCCCGCGGGCGGCGACCAGGCGAGGGCCTCCTCCCTCCTCCTCCTCATCCTCCTCCTCCTCTCCTCCTCTCCTCCTCCTCCTCCTCCTCCTCCTCCTCCCCCTCCTCCTCCTCCTCCTCCTCCTCCTCCTCCTCTTCCTCCTCCTCCTCCTCTTCCTCCGGGCGGCGACCAGGCGAGGGCCCAGAGCCTCCAGCCAGGCACGCCAGAGAGAGAGAGCTCGAGGAGCTGGGAGTGCCAAGCGAGCTTTTCTTTTGGGGGAGGGGTGGGACCGACCTGTTCTTGGTGGAGCCTTCGTGTTGGAGCCCTCGCTTCCGACCCCTCGTGTTCGAGCCCTCGCGTTCGACCCCTCTCGGGCCGAACGAAAGGGGGGGATTGGGAAGGGGGGGGGAACGAAATCTCCTGCATGCAGCTAGTTTCGGCCCCGCCGCCAGGCCCATTCCTCGATACATGGGCGCCGGGAGGCGCCCGGAAAATCAGCTACGTGAGCTGATTCTCACCCCCCCCCCCTTGCTATCCCCCCCGTTCGCCCTGCCCGGGAGAGCCCAGAGCCTCCAGCCAAGCACGCAAAAGAGAGCTCGAGGAACTGTGCGTGCTAAGTGGGCATTTTGGGGGGGGGCGGAGCGAGGAGGATTACAGCCAAGACGCTGAGATAAGGAAGAGTTTGGATTCGGAAGGGGCTCGACGTTCCGTACGTCCTTCCGTGGTTGTTCCTCTAGCCCTTCTCGTGCACCCACGCTTTTTTTCACCACCCACCAAACCACCCCAACCCAACCCGAAGGCTCAGATTTACCCTCGATTTCCAGTGGAAGGGGGGTGGGGAAACATCGAGAAAACACATGTGGAACCCTTCCCCCCCAACCCGAAATTCGGGTCTTCGGGTTGGGTTGGGGTGGTCTGGTAGGTAGTCATATTTGAAGCCACAGAGGGGCTTCGGTCCTTATTTAGCGTTCCTCATTTCAGCAGCCCGACTGTAGGGCATCGAATGGCCTAGGTTGTGGGTATGAAGCCCATTGGATGTTCGTTGGGGCCTCGTGGAAGGCCTCTTTCGGGGCATCTTGGAGGCAGTTTGGACGTCTCTGGGGGGGCCGTTTTGGGGCCTCTGGGGGCCTCTTTGGGGTCTCTTGGGGACCTCGTGGGGTATCTTGGCGGTCTCCTGGGCGCCTCGTGGGGCCTCCCGGGAGCCTCTTGGGGCCTCCTGGGGACCTCTTGGGGCGGAAGTCTCGGATTTTCGGCTCGTGCTCCCTCTCTTGGGCCCCTTTGCGGGGCCGTCTTGGGGCCCTCTTGGGCCGTTCTGATGCCTTCTGGGAGGTCTCTTGGGCTGCCTTGGCTTGGGGCGGTCTTGGGGGCCTCGAGGCGTCGGGAATCCGAAACGGCGAGAGCGCCAAAAACATCCAAACACCGCTGGAATATCAATGACTTTGGCCTCTTGGGGCCGTGTTTTGGAGACCTCTTGGAGGCCTCTTGGGGCGTATAGGGGGCCCTCTTGCGCGTCTTGGAGCGATCGGTCGGCGACTCGGAGCTCTCTTGGACCGTCTTGGGGGGCCTCTTAGGGGCCCCCTTGGCCTGCCTTGGGGCCTTCTGGGGCCCGAAGAAGTCACGCCACGAGGTGCAGGGGAGCCCAGGGAAACCGCGCCAAACTTGAAAATTTTGAGAATTGGGGTCCGACCCCTAATTGGCTTAGGGAATTGGACTACAGGGACTGAGGACACGCCCACTCCGTGCCAGGCGGCACGGCACGGTGTGGACGTATGAGGAATTGGGGTGGATGAGGTATAGGCGAAGGATGGGGGAGGAGGAGGACGACGACGAAAGCATGCTGCCAGGGAGGAGGGGAGGAGAGGGGGGAGGCGAAGCGTTCGCAGGTGGGGGAGGAAGTAGAGTCTTCCGTCATTGCAGACGTGAGCGAATGTTGGCCGAGGTCTGGCGACGGCAGGGCGAAGTTGCCCGTGATATTGTTCCCAGGAGCCGTGTCGGGAGAGCAGGAGGGCAAGTACGGATTTGGGTTCTTTTCCATCCCCCATGTTCTCTCCTTTCCGTCCGTCCCTCCCTCCCCGCTTCTAGTTCGTCTGGCACCCGCAGCAAGACTTGGAGAAGGCATTGGGAGAGAACGAGGAGCAGGAGGCTCACCGTGGGGCGAGGCAGGGGTGCAGGGGGCAGGCGGGAGCACGTGGCTGCGTTGCTCCTGGCAGCCATGGCAACAACGCCGCCCTGAGACTCGGACCTCCTGCTGCTGGGGCACACCAAGGCGGGCCGATGTTTTCGGGTGGGGCACCAGCCGCGCGCCTCGAGACGAGAGGAATGACTAGTCGGCGTCGCCGTCTGCGGCCGCTGAGCTCCAGCAGCCTGCCCAGCATCGCGGAGGAGGGAGGAAGGAGGAGGAGGAGGAGGAGGAGGAGGAGGAGGAGGAGGAGGAGGAGGAGGAGGAGGAGGAGGAGGAGGAGGAGGAGGAGGAGGAGGAGGAGGAGGAGGGAGGAGGGCGGAGGCGGAGGAGGAGGAGGAGGAGGCAGGAGAGGGAAGGAGGAAGGAGGGAGGAGGAGGAGGAGGAGGAGGAGGAGGGAGGAGGGGAGGAGGAGGCGGAGGAGGAGGGCAGCGCGGACAGCAGCAACTTGAGATTCCGCAGGACTAGCTGTCCACGCCGCCGCGGCCTGTACCCACTCGAGACAGAAGGCCGCCTGCCCAACAGCGGCCCCTGTTGGTTTGGGACAACATTTGTTCAGAGCCCCGAATCATCAGGGGTAACTCGGGTCAGGGCTAACTCGGGTTCGTTTTTCGGGAATCCAAACCGGAGTTACCCCGGACCCGAGTTACCCCGGATAACTCGGGCGTCCAATTTGTTGTTGGGCAGTGTACCCAGTTGTTCCGTACCCATTTCGGGCGTCCAAAGAGGGCCGGCTGAGAGCTGTGTGTCAGCGTCGAGGGTCTGCTCTGTCGGCGCCAGCGCTGCGCAGAGGGCTCCCGCAGAACAGGTCACAGTACAGTGCGGGCGCGCATCAAGACACCATATGCTTTTCGTCAGGGAATCCTGGGTTTCTTCGCTCCTCGCGCTGCGCGGTGACTTCCCGCAGCCGTTGAAGAAGCTGCTGCGTTCAGGGTGCTCCAGGTTTCCCCTCAGGTGCACCTCGCGCACGGGTTCTCAGGGTTGGATTTCTTGCGAGGGTTTCTTGCGGCCGCGCCCGCACTGTACCACTCGAGAGGGGCTGCGGTGAAGAATGATGGAGCTCATGGGCAACCGCTGCCTCTGGGGAGTACCTTTCGGGGAGGCAGCGCCTGGTCCAGTCTCGTCCGGGGGTTCCCTTCTGATGGGAAGTCGCGGCTGGGCCGACCGATTCGCACAGCTGACTCTACCATAGCGCTTTTTCCTCCAAGGGAGGCAACACCCATACATACGTATTCCTATAATTATACATCCTGTAAGGAAAAATCCCCCCCGGATGGCCCCCCCCCCCACACATACCTTCTTGGACGGCCGCCCTTGGCCCCCGGGCCCCTTTCCAGCGGACTTCCAAGCCCTCCAGGTCACCGAACGATGGGGCGAAACGCTCTTAATGGCCCCCCAGCGGCCCAAGACGCCCGAGGACGGCAGCCTAAGATAGCCTCAGATGACACCGCGACCGCCCCGAGGCGACCCAAGCCGCCCAAGAGGCACCCAAGAGGCCCCCCAAAAGGGCCCCGTGAGGCCAAAATAGCCCCATTCCCATCGTAAAAGGTACATTCTCAACATATTCGCCTCTTGGCCTTTCATAATGTCCAAGTCGGCCCAATAGACCCCCAAGACGGCCCAAGAGGCTCCCAAGAAGGCCCCAAGACGCCCAAAGAGAGCCCAAGAGTGCCTCAAGGGCCCCCAAGACAGCCCAAGAGACCATCTGGACGGGCCGCACAGGCGTCCCAGAAAACGAAAACCAAGTTCAAATTTCAAGCCTTCGGCTTCAAGAGGCCCATAGGATGCCCCCAGAGGCCCCCAAGAGGCCCCTAAGCGGCCCCCAAGAGGCCCCCAGGCGGCCCCCAAGAAGCTCCCATGAGGCCCCCAGGACGCCCCAAAAAGCTTCCAAGAGTCCCCTCCCCGGACGCCCCGAGCCACTTCTGGCGATCGCGAGGCTTCTGACAAGGAGAGGCGACGAACGGCCTTCCTGACGCGCTCTTGGGCCGTCTTCGAGCTTAAGGTGCCCCAATCAAGACCCAACAGGTCCCAGAAACACCCAAGGATAGCTTCCCCGGGGTTCCCAAGAGACCCTCCAGAAACAACTGACCGGGAGACACACCCAACCCTTTGTACACAAGAGGCGACTATACCCAGGACCGTTCATTTCCAACTTACGCCTTGAAGGATTCGCAGTATCCTTGAACGCTTCGCCAAAGAACGTGAGGCCACATACCAGTGTTCCCCATTCACGGCATCACTCTTGCGACTCATATCATCGGAAAGAGGGCGATCACGATCGGACAAAAGAGCAATGACGAGGGGGCCACGAACGTGGCGACAGCTTCGCTGTTCGAAGCCCCCCGGGACGGCGAGGCCTCATTCTGGTCTGCGGATCAATCGAGTTGGCCTACACTGGCAGCTTCCACGTGAGGTGTTTGAGAAAAAAAAAAAAAAAAAATCTGGTCTGCGGATCACGCCACTCCGTTGGACCCGCCAGCGGCCCACGAAGGTAGCGACAGTTTCGCACATCGCAGCCCCCCACTCGTTCCCTCGTTCCTTTCCCAGTTTATCCTTCTCCTCTTCCTCCTGTTCTGACTCCCTCCTCGTCCTATCTCGCCCTCCTCGTGTCATTCTCCTCCCCCCTCTGTCCTCTCCTCTCTATCTCTCTCTCCCTCCTATGTTCCTCCTCACCTTCCCCGACCGTGTCTCTCCCTTCTTGCTCGCCCTCCTCTCCTCTTCTTCCCTATCGGTGACTATGGCCTCGTCGCGGTATGTCGCCGTCTCCCAAACACAGGAATGCTTATGACCCGTCCGGGAATTATGACCGCGACCCCTCTCATGGTCATCATGTGCTTGCAAACATCATTCATTCACCGAGTGTTTGGGTGCGCATGGGCGCAGGACCAAGATTGAGGCGAAGCGAAGCGAGCCCTCAGATCTTGTGTATATATATGTACCCCGTATACCTATGAAATTACAAGGAAAAAACCGACGGGTCGCCGGCACCCCCCCATACAAGTAGCCCCGCTGCCTCCCAGAAGGCCAGACATAAAAACGCCAAAATGCACCTATGACAACCTCGCGGCGGCTCCAGAGGCACCCATGGAAGCGTCGCGCCTTCGGGTCGTCGTCGACCTGCAAGTAGCTCCATCCGTGTAGCTCCTGCAACCTGCTAAGCCGCCGTCGTCGTCGTCGTCGTCGTCGTCGTCGTCGTCGTCGTCGTCGTCGTCGTCGTCGTGGTCGTCGTCGTCATCGTCGTCGTCGTCGCCGTCGCCGTCGCCCTCGAAATCGTCGACGTCGTCGTCGTCGCAGTCGCGGCTTTGGTCGTCCTCCCCCCTTTGGCGCCGCCGCTGCTGGCGTGGGCCCGCATGCCCTCCTGCGACGGGCCTGGTCGACGCCAGCGCCGCGAGAGGCGGGAGGAGGGGGAGAAGGAGGAGGAGGAGGCGCGGGAGAAAGGAGAGGGCGGGCTGAGCAAACGCACGCGAGAACAAAACGGGCCAGGGGCCGAAGGCCCTGCCGCGATGGGCCTGGGCGGCACCGTTTCAGAAGTCCTCGCATTTCGGAGTCCCGAGGTGCAGCGCGCGAAGTGGCCCAGCCCGTTTCTCTTCCCTCCTCACTGCAGTTCTTCACGCGTCGCGCATCCCCACCAGCCAGCCCGTCCAGAAGCGATGCCCGGGCGACTTCAGGTGTTGTTGTGAGATGTTCCCGGAAATCTCTTGGAGCCATCCTGGGCCTCTCTTCGGGCCCTTTTGGGGCAATATTGGTGCCCTCTTGGAGCTCCCTTGGAGCCTTCTTGGGGCCTTCGGGGGGCTCTTTGCCAGACTCTGGGAGGCCCCCCGAGGCCACCTGAGAAGCCAATGCTGAGAAAAACGGGCGGCGACAATTCAGGCCCCCCCGTCTCCCCTTTTCGTTTGCCCTTCCAGATGCAAGGGCCAAGGTTGAAGGCGGGGCGCAGCGAGCTTTACAGTCTTATATATATATATATATATACATACATACATACAGCTATAGATACATACACACGTAGCACCCCGCAGTCGCGGATAAGAGTGAGGGGGCGGCGGGGGCGTCTTCAGTCTGCGAGGCTCTGAAGAAGCCCACCGCAGGCGCCGAATTTTTACCAATTATACAACGAGCCCGCCGCAGGTGCCGATTTCTTCGTTAAAGCAATGTGGGTGGGTCGCGGGGCGGGTCGCGGGTGGGTCGCGGCCCAGGTCGCGGGGGGACGACGCCAAACAACAACAACAACAACAACAACAACAACAACAACAACAACAACAACAACAACAACAACAACAACAACAACAACAACAACAACAACATCAACATCAACATCAACATCAACATCAACAACAAGAACAACAACAACAACACCAACAACAACAACAACAACACCAACAGCACCAACAACAACCACAGCAACAACAACAACACTAACAATAATAAAAACAACAACAACAACATCAATAACACTAACAACAACAAATACAACACCAGCAGCAACAACAACAACCGCATCAACATCAACAGCAGCAGCACTAGCAACAACAACAACAACAACCCACATGTTAATAGTGTTCGCTTTTCTCTGTTCGGGTGCCCGTCAACGTGTAGTTCCCAAACCCTCGATGCCCGCCGTCTTCGTCTACGATCGTGCACTTTTTGGGGGGTAGATCGTTCTTCCCTGCAGGCCCCGGCAAGCGGCGGGGCGGCCGCGGACCCTCGGCCTGGCCAGCGGCAGCGCTGATCGGCGGCAGCCCGACCCCAGGAGGGATAGACAGGGGACCGACCCCGACGACGACGACGACGACGACGGCGGCGCCGACGACGACGACGACGACGACGAGCGAAAGCGAGAGCGAGAGCGAGAACGAGAGCGACAGCGGGGCCACCAAGGGCAAGAAGGGGGCTCCGATGGGCGACAGCGGGGCCACGAAGGGCATGTGTATGGGGCCACGAGGGGCGCGAACGAGCGGGGGCCACGAAGGGCAGAACATGCAGGGCACAGGGGGCAACGACGGGGCCGCTGAGGGTGGCGACGGGGCCACGTAGGGCAGCGAGGGGGGGCCGCAAAGGGCGACGGCGGGGCCACGACGCGCATGCGCATGGGGCCACGACGGGCGCGAACGAGCGGGGGCCACGAATGGCATTCGTGCGTTGGGCCGCCGAGGGCAAGGACGGGGCCACTGAGGGCAGCAGCGGGGCCACGAAAGGCGGCGAGAGGGCCACGAAGGGCGACGTCGGGGCCACGACGCGCATGCATATGGGGCGACGAGGGGCGCGAACAAGCGGGGGCCACGAAGGGCTCGCGTATATTGTGCCACGAAGGGCATCGAGGGGACCACGAAGGGCTGCAACGGGGCCACGGAGGTCAGAGAGGGGGTCACGACGGGCTGCAAGGAGGCAGCGAAGGGCAACGAGGGGGCCGTGAGGGGCTGCCACGGAGCCACGAAGGGCAGCGAGGGGGCCGCGAAGGGCTGCCACGGGGACGCGAAGGGCAGCGAGGGGGCCGTGAAGGGCCGCAGCGGGGCCACGAAAGGCAGCGAGGGGGCCGCGAAGGGCTGCAACGGGGCCACGAAGGGCAGCGAACGGGCCACGGAGGGCTGCCACGAAAGGCAACGAGGGGGCCACGAAGGGCTGCCACGGGGCCACGAAAGGCAGCGAGGGGGCCGAGAAGGGCTACAAACGGGTCACGAAGGGCAGCGAGGGGGCCGCGAAGGGCTGCAACGGGGCCACGCAGGGCAGCGAGATCCTCATTCCGAAGTAAGCTGTGAGAGAGTCCGAAGCGTGAGCGCGACTCCTGGGTGCCTGAGCGTCGGGATCGCGGCGCTTGAGTAAATCGCAAGAGCGCGATTCTGGAGTAAATCACAAGCAAGTCTTCCAGCGAGAGTGCGACTCCAGAGCGCCGAGAGAACGATCCCTCAGTACAGCGAAATGAAGTCCCAAGCGAGAGCGCGATTCCTGAGTAGAATGCGAGGACATCTCAGGCGGAAGCGGGAGTCGTGGCTACATTGCGAGGAAATCTCAGGCGGGAGCCGTTGTTGTTGTTGTTGTACACTGGGGAACAACAGTACAGTTTGAGCCGGCCAACAACACAGTTTGAGCCCCGTGACTTCCTTTGAGAAAAAAGGGTGCGACCCCCCGTGGAAATACTGCGATGGAAAACAACACAATGGTTACCGGAAGGGGGGATCAACAATAGTCATCATCCAATAGTGAGAGCTTAACAGCAACAACAACATCAACAACCACAACAGCAACAGCAACAACACCAACACCACCAACAACAACAACAACAAACAAACAACACAAAACAAGCAAGCAAACAATCAATAACAACACCAACAGCAACAACAATCCGCAGCCACGCACCCAAGGACAGTGAACGACCGTTCGGCCCCCTCACTTCTGACATATACATCTGTAGCACAGGGGCGGACGCGGGATTGGTCGCGGGTGGGTCGTGGGTGGTTTCGCGGGTGGGCCGCGGGGTGGGCCGCGGGTGGGTAGTGGGTGGGTCGCGGGTGGGTCGCAGGGGGGTCGCGGGGGGGTCGCGGGGGGGTCGCGGGGAGGTCGCGGGGAGGTCGCGGGCGGGTCGCGGGTGGATCGCGGGCCGGATCGCGGGTGGGACGACGACAACAACAAACAACAGCGTCTCATCAACAATCCGCACTGCGGAAGCCCATATCAGCCACGCGCCCAGGGACAGTGAATGACCGTTCGGCCCCCAATTCTGACGATGCGTACATGCATCCGTATACGGTAAACGTTTATGCGTCTTCCTTGTATGCATCTCGTTTGGTTTTTTTACGCATCCGCCTCATGCTCCATCTCTTGTGCCTCATCCTCTCATCACGCTCGTTGTCGTCTTCGGAGGCCCGAGCGGGGGAGACCGTAGACGCGCGCCCAGCGGGGTCGGCCCAGCCCAGGGACGCGCCTCGCTTCGCAGAGCGAGCGCACCGCTGGCCGGATGCCACCGTGTCTGTGCATCCTCCCTGGCGTCTGCCCCTCCGTGCGCCTCGCTTCTTACGTCCTTCTCTTCCTCTTTCCCGCCTCCATCCTCACATTTCGAGTCTCGCCCTCCATCCTACATTTTTCTTGTCCTCCATTTTATTGTCCTCTATCCTCGCCTCCTTCCTCACACTCTTCTTGTCCTGAAGCATTCCGCTGCTGCCGAAGAAGCGTTCGGCGAGCCGTTGCCGTCCCTGGCTTGTTTGGAAACGCCTGTGTCGTGAAATGCTGTAGATTGCGGCCGCGTTAGTGGACTGCACGCTTCCCCCCGCCGTAGGCGAATCCGTTGGGAGATCACCAGGCAGTGGCGCTCGGGGGCCGTCATGAGTCTTTATTGGAGATCGTTTCTACTAGTAACCTCGGAGGTTTCTTACGGTACTCCTGGGGTTCGCTCTGTTCTCTCTTTGGGACTGTCTTCGGGTGCTACGGGCGCTGTTGGCCGTGTGGCGCCTTTGATGGCCATCTTGGGGGGCCTCTCTGGGCCATGGGGCTATTCTTGGGGCCATGTAGGGCCGTCCTGGGGCTCTCTTGCGGCGTAGTTTGACAAGTTTACAGCCCTATTGGGCTGAAGTGGAGCCCTCGTGGGGGGCAGTTGGACAGCATTGAAGCAATACTAGGGTCCGCGTGGCTGTCTTGGGCAGCCAGAGCCCTAACAGGGCGAGACCGCGAAAGATACCGCACATTCTCAAGAACACACGTGATGTGTTTCTCTTGAGGCTTATTGGGCCGTCGTGAGCACATATTATGTTGTTTTGGGGCATCGTCGTCGTATTGAAAGCCATATTGAGCCGTCCTGGAGTCCACTTTGGCAATATTGGGCCGATGTGGTGGTGTCAGCCATCTTTTGAGGAACAGCTATTGAAGATCCTGTTGGTGGGGGGATGGGTGCGATGGGCCGAGGGGCCATGGGGGGGAAATTAATTCGCATAAAAGAACATATGTTACTCGAATTTCTTGCTGCCGAATGCCGTTGCTCGCGGCTGCTTCATGATTCTCGGTGTTACTCGTAGTTGCGTGTTGCTTCACGCTGTCGCTTGCTGCTGCGTAATGATGGTTCCCTTCTTTCACTGATTGTCGCCTCATCCTCGTACCCCTCTTCACTGCTTCTCCTCACTCCTTCTCCTTCCTTCCCCTCCTCGCTCCTCCACGCTCCTACTCATTCCCCCTCTTCCTTGCGCTCGACTATTGGAAACTACCTGCTCGCTTGTACCTGCGAGGTCTTAGCTCCTAGCGCCGCCAAAGGTGACGATAGATGCCTCGTGCAGCTTTGCTGTTGCTTATTCGCTGCGGCAGACTTGAGCTTAATTCTGGATCGGGGCCAAACGCCCTCAATATTCTGTTCGCTCTGCCTACAATCCCTATTCCAATCCACTCCACATCACCTCTCCATCCCATCTCCGTCCGACCCCAGCGCATGCACCTCTTTGAGCAACGATGGGTGGATATGGTGGAGACCGCCCGGAGCCAGTTCAATGGCATTGTCGGGCTTGTCTATTTCGGCAGGGACGGCAACGTCGTGAGGGTCATAATGTGGAGCGAGAGGCAGGGAATGAAGGATTTGATAGAGAAGAAGGGACAGAATGAGCGAGGGTGGTTGATGAGGACATGATGAAGAACGAGGGGGAGGGAGGTGAAGTGAAAGTGCAGTACGTGCGGAGGGAGGGAGAAGGAACGCGTGAGCAGGAGGTGGGCAAGGGAAAGTGAGAGAGAAAGAGAGAGAGAGAGAGATTGGGAGCAGGAGTGTCGAGGAGGCAGACGATGGTGAGCAGCATTAGGAGAAAGGTATGGCATGCCAACAGGTCATGGTCGAGAGTTGTGTCCAAGGAGGTGTGTCCATTTTCCAGGTCAACGCAGGGGCTCACATCACCACGGTACTCCCATCATCACTCATCGTGGTCCTCGCCGACATCGCGTTCATACGTTCTCAAATTCATCATCGACCGCCTTCGTCTTCAGCGCTCATGTTCAGCCACTATCATCGCCGTCATGTTGAGTGCCATGTTCTTGTGCGGTCACCGCTGTTATTGCCACCAATGTCAGAGTGAGGGGGCCGAATGGTCATTCATTGTCCTTGGGTGCGTGGCTGAAGTGTCGTTCCGTGGCGAGGAGTCTGCTTGTTGCGTTGTTGTTGTCTCCGTCGCACCCGCGACCCACCTGCGGCCCGCCCCGCGACCCACCCCGCGACCCACCCCGCGACCCACCCCGCGACCCACCCCGCGACCCAACCCGCGACCCACCCGCGACCCACCCCGCGACCCACCCTCGACCCACCCTCGACCCACCCGCGACCCACCCCGCGACCCACCCTCGACCCACCCCGCGACCCATCCGCGACCCACCCGCGACCCACCGGGACCCATTTGCGACCCACCCCGCGACCCACCCCGCGACCCACCCGCGACTCACCTGCTACCCACGCGCGACCCAACAGCGACCAACCCGCGACCCACACGCGACCCATTTGCGATTCACCCGCGACGCACCCAGGACCGACCCACATTGGTTTAGCGAAAAATCAGCGCCTGCGGCAGGCTCGTTGTATACTTTGTTAAGTTTTGGCGCCTACGGCGGGCTTCCCCAGAGTCTCGCAAACTGCCGACGTCCCCACCGCACCCTCACTCTCATCCGCATCTGCGGGGTGCTATTACTTTTTGGCGCATCATGAGTTCACAATCACACACACATAGGTGAGGGCTCCCGGCGAAGGATTCAGATACGAGCGGCTATTCGCACATTTTGTTGAAGCCGCAGGTGGAGAAGACACAGGTGGAGAAAACCTCGCGCTCTATGTGGCCTCAAATGTCTCCCACCTGAGGGGTTGGATGCGAGCGTCGATTCGCACGCACTGTGAAGACGCAGATGGAGTGGGACTTCCCACTCTCCGCGGACCTCGGGCTCGTCCCTGGGGAGGGCCCTAGAGGGCTCCCTCCCGAGGGTTGGATCCGAGCAGCGCCTCGCACGTTGGTCGGGCGGCAAGCACTGTGCACACACACACACACACCGATCCTGGCCAGGCCCACCCTGGGCCCATGGCCGGTGCGTGCAGCTGGCCGTTTCAAGCCTGGCAGGCGTGTGCACCGATCCTGGGCCCAGGCTGGGCCTGGGCAGGATCGGCGCATGTGCACGACCGTGTTTCGTCCGATTCTGCTCGCGCTCGTGGAAGGGACCTCCCGCTCTGTCAGAGGCTCTCCTCCAGGGGTGGGGCTTCTGGAGCTGCTGCGGCAGCCTCGCAGGGCAGGGGCGCAGCGCCCCCCCCCCCCCGCGCAAGCCGCATTGCTCGGGCATGCGGCGTGCCCTTGCAGACGTCTTGCGCGCGGCCACGCCACGTAGGCCCCGGTTCGGCCAAGCCGCGAAAATTGCAGTGTACTCCAGGGGTCTTAAGCGGGTGTGGTGTAATGGTTTGTGGTGCCGGTGTTGGAAATGGCGATGTGATCTACGATAGCCGCAAGCGCGTCGGATCCTGATTCCAACAACGTTGGCTTTGCGTTGGCTGCTTCAAACAAGTTCTCATACAGATGCATGTATGTTATTACATCTATATACAAATATGTGTATATATATATATATGCACATCTCATGCCAACTGTTCCAAACGACTGTCGTCCAATCTGAACGGCGACGCAAAGGCCCATTCCATGACGCCCTCTCGCCAGGCGCGCGATTCTGGAGATTCCGAATTTATTGTTGAATCCATGCTCGTGATTCCAGAATTTCCAGATTGTCGTTTCGAATGTCAAGAATTATGATTTGGATTGGAAGAATATTATGCCTAAAGTTTTGAATTTCCAGAATTGCGTTTTCGGCGATGCGGAATTCCTGGCATCACGTTTTCTGCGATTCTTAATTTCCGAAATTGTATGTTGGGTGGTCGGGCGTCCTGGAACAGGTTTTGTGTTGCCGTACACATAGTACAGAGGTCTGCAATCAGGAATGTTGGCATTGTTCAAGTCGGTCGGGATATAGCGCACTTGCGGCTATCGCAGATACCATCGCAGTCTTCAGCACTGGAAAATGTATCAAACGACGTCTCTTGCAGATGGGCCATACGACAAGGCCATCATTGAAGCTTTCGCTCGCTAGTCATTCCTGTAGTATTGAAGACGAGTTGGGTGGAAGGCTAAGAGAATGGAGCAGGGAATCAAGGCAGGAGGGCAAGACCGTCGGGATAAGAGTTGAACAGGAAGCTTCGGGACAGGAGAGGAAGTGTGTGCAGCAGAGCATCATCACAGTACCGGGCAGGATCGAAACCCGAACTCCTGGCGTGAGGGAATGACGGGTATTATGAGGCGGAGAGAGAGAGAGAGAGAGAGAGGAGAAGGGAGGAGGAGGCGGAAAAAAGAGTAAAGCGCAGGTGACGACCATCGCGGAAATCGTCGCCTGCGACAACCTCGGTGCTGTTGGCCGCATGGTGGTAGTACCGCACCCAGTAGGGCTGGTCAAGACGGATCTATGATCGGAGCGACGCGAGCGCAGGATCATCGATCAGCACCGTCATCATCTTCATCATCGTCGAATTTATCGTTATCACCACCACCACCATCATCACCAATTATCGGCAGCACCATCATCATCAACATCAGCATCACCAGAATCACCATCGACACTGTCATCGTCATCGTCGCCCGTATTATCAGCATCATCATCATAGCGTTGCCCAGCATGTTCAAGCACCTTTCTCATCGCGGCAGACACAATATGTTTCATATCGTAGGGACATCAGCGTTGCCCGTCCCTTGTGCGCACAAGTTCTGTCGCGGACCCACGGTACATTCTCAACCTGTTTGGCCCTCGGCACCGACATCTGTTCAGAATGGCTGGCGAGTCAGATATGTGCCATCTAACCCGCAGGTTTTGCCGACCAGAAAATTTCCGACAGACGTATTTCACTACTGTGAGAATGCGCACGTGGTGTCGCTCTCGGGCACGAGTTACACACAGCGGCAGCTCTCTTGCGACAGCATCCTCACCTTCACCAGCAAGCGTGCTGGAAGATGAACAGGGTGGCAGTGGCCGACGGAGACACGCACAGAACCTTCGAGGCACACCGTGAAGCATCCAGGTACTTCGAGTTCAGCGGGCTGCATGCTCGCGGTTGCGCAAGAGTTTTCTCCTGAACATCACAGGGTTCAATGTTGGGATCCGCCCGAAGGACTACGAGGACGGGGAGGAGCAGTTAGATACAAATTTCATTATGATTGTGATCTACGCTTCATCGCGGTCTACAGCACGGTGGAGGCACAGGATGAGAACAGTCGACGATAGCGAGACATGACATCCGAGGCGCATTCCAATCCTTGTGATGGACGGGAACTTCAATCGTGGTTCCCGCACGGTCGGGCATGAGTTTTACGGCATGAGGGAGGGACATGCAGTGGGGTCGTACAATCCAAGCCCCCAATCCCCGACGACAGTGATACGGAGGCGCGCTCTCAATACCCATCATATGGCACTGGCGAATGCCCATCGGGCCGGCGGTGCAGGCAATACCTTTTTCTTTGGCAGCGGCAGCGGCAAGACACGACTGGATGACATTGGAATACAAAAAGCGATGTTGGGACATATGCTCACGCTGGGGGTGCGGTATCGCACAGGATTCAAGGTTCAGCTCACCAAGACGGCTCGCTCGCCCAGTATAACTGTTGATCGTTGCCTTTTTGTGATGGGCGGGCAGTATCACAATTGGTTTGAAGACGACCCGGAAGAGCGACCTCGGTGGAACATGGACAAATTCCTGCTGAGTTGGTGTCAACAAAGACGCCCTTCAGCAGCAGCTTTAAATGGCCTCTCTCTTGATGGGCATTCCTGTGGGGCACTCAACGACTGGGCCGGGCAAGTGACGGCGATCGACGTTCTAAGACATTTCGTGGCGCATGGCTTGGTAGATGAGTGTCGGAGGCTAGCAGCAGCAGCAGCAGCTACGTGAGCAGGCGCAGCGTTTCTCTCTGTGCGCGCCCCTCGCGACAGTCGACCGCGGCCACAACCAGGCGACGCGCAAGCAGCACGTGCACTATATAACGAGGTTCGCAGCTTTCTTTGGGAACGCCGACGTGGCGAGGTTCTTGGTCGCGCGGATCTCGAACGGGCATTCCATGGACTTGTTCGGGGACTCCACGGACTCAGACGACGAGAACTCAGGCGTGTTCGGGGCGTTGGGGTTCACGGACATCGGGAGGCTGAAAGGCACCATAATTGGCAGGTGGTCTGGAAGCTCGGGAGAAAAATCGCCGGTGCCAACCTGGTGCCCAACAGCAACGCAAGTAATTGTTCCGTAGCATAGCAGCGCCTACGCGCGCGGAATGGATGCAGCACGTAGGACAGGATGGACCAAGAGGGGGAATGCAGGCGCAGGGTCTATTTCGAGGAGCACGGCACGGGCGCATGCAAGCCGTGAAGTTGCACGGCATGTGCCACGCGATGATGCAGCTCGCGCAGGTAGCGTGGCTTCCTTGTCTCGGGCACGTTTCTGGATTTCCCCGACGGCGCCGCGCCGCCCGGGCACGCGGGGGCCGATGTCAGCCCCCTTGCCCCCAGCAGCGGCGCTTGCCCTCGAGCAGGCCGCCGCCGCGGCCGGGGGCGCGTAGGCACTTCTTTCTTCTTCTCAAGGCCAAGGTTTGGAAACAAGTACCCAAGTGGGCCCTGCTTAGAGAACCGCGGCCCCGTCGCCCCCGCCCAGGAGGATCGCGTACTAGGACTGATTAGACCAGGAGCTTTAACTGCATTCGAGCGGCGTTGGAGACGCCCCCGTCTACGGCGTGGAAGCGAGGCAGTCGGGGCCCCCAAGGGCAGCGGTGAGTTGAAGTGCCAGGTGGAGCGCGTGACCCACCTTCTCGACCCCGTATGTGAGACCTACCATTGCCACCTCTGTAAACGTCGATTGCCGAACTCGCATAAGTCGACGGGTTTCAAGCGCGGACGATGGCGAGAACAATCGGTGTTGACGATGCCAACGGCGCGGGAACGACCCGGCAAACGGGGGGGTAGTTGGGTGGAGGTTTTTTCCGACGCTGTCAATGCCTTCGCCTCGGCGTCACGTCGCGCCACGGATCGAACGATCGACGGCGCGCTGAATCCCGACGACGCGAGACCCACGAAACAGTGGCACCGACGAGCGATGACATATCAGGAAGTTAAGGACGGGGATTGCGCCTTCTTCGACCTCGGACGCGGGGATATTCAGGGAGATTGCCCCGCGCCCGATGGGTTCGCGCGCTTGCGCGACCCGCGGGCCCAGGGGTGCGTCACAGCCGCGGCTTCGGCGACGGGGGCCAAGATTTTTCGCGCCACGGAGCCCGCGCCGGCTGCGCAGGCCGACCTCTCTTTCACCGAATTTACTGATGACGGCACCAGGCTTGGCGTGATAGGTCGAGATCGCCCCGACCTCGAAGCTGCTCGCAGGGTTCAGCATCGGGATGGCGGCCGCGAGCGACGCGCGCAGAACAGTGCCGAGCTTGCCCAGCACGCAGACAAGACAAGAAGGAGATTTCGCTTCGCTGTCGGGGGGCAGGAGCCCCAAAGGCCATGAAGAGCCTCTGCCACAAAAACAGACGGTGCCCACGACCGGAGGGGAAGCTAAGCTTTGGGTCAGGCACTTGGGCCCATGGCACAGTAGCGACGGGCGGGCCTACTCTGAAAATGAGCAGCGCGTCTGAGCAGCGCGCATTGGATGGAAGTCCCTAGGGCGCATCCAGACAAGCAACGCAAGCTGTAACATCAAAAAGCTACGCTATACTAGCATGGTTCGGGGATCTTCACTGCTTGGGGGAGAATCGCGAAGCTGGGCGCAAATTGAATTGTCGTCACTCACGAGCAGGCTCGTCCTCGAGTGATCCCGATCCTGCAAGGCGCGAGCCACAAGCGCACGAGCGACGGCGCGGTGGGGACTCGCGCGTAGTCCAATGCGGACGTGCGGCGCGAGCTCCAGATTCCGACCTTCGAGAATACGTTCCTGCTTCGCAGACTTCATTGGCTCTGGTCTATTGCGCGCTGCCAACAGGAAAACGCCGCCCCCCCTGCCGCCCTCGCCAGCCCGCGCGGAGACGGAGGAAGGGGGCAGCCCGCCGCGCCTGGAAAACCACGCCGGGGGTGCAGTCGTTTTCTGAGGAGGCTTTGCTGCGACCTGGAGGACCCGGGGAGAGTCGTTCCCGAGGTGAAAGAAACGCTTGGGCACAGAGACTGGCATGCAATGTTCGACGACGCAACGCCCTTCAAACCGCCCCAGGACATAATAATCATCAGCTTCTATCGCCTCGCAGAGCGTCTCCCTGGGGCCCCGCTGGAACTTGGGGCCCGGGCTTTTGGATCCAGCGCAGCATGTCCATGTCAGGCGCCATCGCGTGCCGCGCTTGTATGCCATGAGCGACGCGCGCGCAGTTATCGGCAGCCCCTTAGACAAGCGATTGCATGCAATGCCTGCTCCTGGTGTGCACGAGCGTTCGCTTCAGTGGAAAAGGTTGATTATGGCGGGAAGAGCGCAGCAGGTGTCTCGAAGGCCGCGGGGGAGGGGCCCCAGCCGGTCTCGCTCGCCCCCCACCTCCCCCCCCCCGCCCCCCTCCCCCCCCGAGGCGCGCAGTGCCTTCTCGGAGAATGTGTATCTGATGACTTGGACTCTCTGCATGCGCATCCCCGCAGTCATTTTGTAGCTCGAGAAGATCGCGAGTATTGGCGCCCACTCGACAGGTGCACCTCTCTCCCGCCGGCCCAAGCGGACGCCCCTGAAGATGGGGGGGGCGCGGGCGCAGCTGGCGGCGAGGGCTCAAGCGGAGCCCGGCGCGAAGCGCAGGAGGGGGGCAGCCGGCGACGAGGCGCTGGCGCGCCAGAAGTTGGCGGTGAACACGGCTAAGGCAGTAGCGGCGCTCGACCTGCAGAGGCGGAGGGCCCAGGGTGCCCTGACGGCGGCGGCGCTGACGCCGCCTGGGCGCCCGCGCTGGCTGGCCACGCAGGAAGACGGCAGAAAGTTCAACGACGCGAAAGGGGCTGCCAAGGCGGCGGTGGACCAGAATGCGTTGCAGGAGCTGAGGTGCGCGCACTTGCATACATGGATCTCTCACTGCCTGGCAGTAGTCGGAGACCCGGCCGCCCCCGACCAGAAGGGGCAGCAGCTCAAAGCGCGCGCCGCATCCGCGGAGACCGCGGCGCAGCTGGTGGCGAGCGCGGCGGTGTGCCACCAGAAGAAAGCGTTCAAGCAGAATGGGTGGAAATCGGATATGCATCGGCTCGCGCTGTTCACCAGCACAGAGCTTCGCCTGATATGCCACGAGCTAACGGAGGCCATCACGTCCAAGCCGCACGCGGTCCGCAAGCCAGGGGCGCCCCCGCGGGGGCCCAACATCAGGCGTGTAGTGCAGGGCCTGATCGAGCTGGGAGAATACGAGGTGGAGGGGGAGGCGTTGTAGGTAGCAGAAGCAGTTATCACATACTCGAAAAGTCTTCGGGGGCTCTGAAATTCATCGGTGTTGAGGTCAGCTCAGGGATCAGCCTTGAGCGCCCTGGAGGTGTAACGCTCCTAGGGCCACAGCTCGGTCTAGTAGGAGTGGAGCATCTATGAGGTCGGTGCCAGAGCGAATCTCCTTGTAGTTGTGATGACGTTCTGGGTCCATCCGACGGTGTGCCGTGGCTCTCAGGAGGATCCGATTGAGGGGCGCGCGCCGTTTTCGCCACCCACTGCCCGAAGTCCAGGCGCGCACGATTCGCACTTGCTCGTACACCCATGCCAGGGACACCTATAGGGTTGTGGAAATCGGTTAATGCAGAGAAAGCGCGCTGCCATATACTTTCCAAATGTTTGAAAGATGCGCCAAACATTTTTTAACGATGTGAAAAAAACATGCTGGCAACATTATGAAAACATGTTTTACACATTTACAACACATATGCAAGTCAATGCTAGGATTGTTAGAGTGCCCCTTGCCATGGCATCCACAACCATATTGGGGGGGAGGGAGAGAAAGAGAGAGAGAGGGGGGGAGAGAGAGAGAGAGGGGGGAGAACGATCATCATCATTATCATCATCATCGGCGCAACCATCAGCACGACTATCATCATCCTTATCACTTGGCGTCGTCATCACCATCACCAGCATCACCGGTATCATCCGCATCCTCATCCTCAGGCTGCTGCTCTGGGCCCTGGTCTTGGCCCCGCTCCCCCTCGGGATCGGTTTGGCTGTTTCTCGCCAGTAGCATCATTCTCCATCCATCCTCTCCTCTCTCCTCCTGAATTGTTTCCTCCCTCCTCGTCTTCCCCCGTGACAGTGAGTGTGAGGAGGGAAGGGGGGAGGGGGGAGGGACAACGGGGGTCCGTGGGATGTTCGCCGGGCGACCCCGCGTGCGCCACCCTTTCGTAAAAAAAAAAAGGCTCGTGCTCGGGGTTTTCCATCGCGACAGCGATCCACAACTGTTCGCGTGACGGTTGGCGCACAGCGTTGGATGTTTGGATAACGAGTTCGAGAGGTGTTCGGGTAACCGTTTCCCATTATGACGAACAGTTTCCCAGGGCATGCATCGTATGTTCAAGCCGCTCGCCCCGCCCAGGCAATCCATGAATCGTAATCATCGAGCCAGGGGTTTGGACGCATCGGCCGTCCCCAGTCGCCACTCCCCGTTCCAGCGAGTTATATCATTGTTGTTCCGCTCCACCTTCGCAATCCCCGTTGTCCCGTGTATTTTTGTTCGTTCGGTCTTGTTTTTTCCGTCCCTTTTCACGTTCATGTTGGCCCACCCATTGCCCAGCTGGGTTCAATACAAGTATGATTGTGCGTTGTTTCCGTACGTCTATCCATCTCAATCTTCGACCAGCGCACCCGTAAAGTTAGAACCCAGAGCACCAGCAAACAAATCTAGTTTTGATCCGTCGCCCCAATGCCTTGAGTGGTCGCGGGTAGAGTGCCGCGCATTTCCCTGTGCGCCAGAGTTCCCCGACTACTACGTTTTCTCAGGTTCACCAACCCCTGGCTCTTCGTGCTGCAAAGGCAAAGAAGGGCCTTCCCCGAGATGGAGAGGGAGGTTTCGGAGAAGGCGGGAGGGCATGAGAGGGCGGAGGCGGCAGGGCGCAGGGGCACCAGGAGTGGATGGGGACGGATGCCGAGCGTTTGCCCAGGTTTGCCCCCGCGGAGCGGAAAAGCAGGCTGCCCCGATCGCCCGGGCACCCAGGTTCGCGGCGTGTCGCGCGGGTCGCTGCTCGGGCTGTCGAAGGAGGCGCCGAAGCGCGGGGTGGGAGGACCGGAGTGCACGGAGAAGGAAGAGAAGGGAGGAGAGGGGGCCAGCACGGGAGGGGGGCGCAGAGAGGGGAACGCGCGGGAAGGAAGACAGACGGGGATGCGTGAGAGGAAGACGAGAACGAGTCATTGCGATGGGTCTGTCTTCGCTTGTGGGGTCGTCATCTCTGTGAGGTGGTCGAAAGGTCTTACGCGAGTGCCCGGATGCATGGTGGACAGGGTTTGGGGGGTAGTGTCGAGCCGTAGTCGTCCTCGTTGTCGTCGTTGCGGTTTCATCCAAATTGTTATCGTCCCGCCCACGCTCGTCGAAAGGCGTGTCGAATGGCGTTGGGTACAGAAGAGAGCCAGCAATGTATATTTGGATGCGGCGATTAAAGAGCTACCGAGTCAGAGGTGGCATCAACCAGCTCACTACGTTGAGTGCTTGATCTTCTGACTTCCATCAGTTGTTTCTAGTTGTGGAAGTGGCCTCTCTGCGTTTTACAGAGTGGCGTGTAAAGTTGATACCCCATCGGGTGACACGTTGCTGCTGGTTGTCACATGAAAGGCAGATGCGCGTGCCAATGTGGTTGTGCATTTCGCACTGCATCCACATGTGCCAGACACAACGGTGTCTACAGTGAACTGTTCGCGGTTGGACAAGCGAATCAATGTTAGACATGTTCGAACAGGTTGTTGTTATCCATGGTCCACTGTCACCTTGCAGGCATAGTATTCCACCACCGTGTGTATAATATGTGCCCTCGCGAGATGTTTCCTGCATTATGCAGGGCAAGGGGATTAGCAGCGCACACGCAAAATCCCAATATGAGTTTCCAGATGTCACCCCTCTCGAGAGATTGCCATGTCGAGTAGTCTACCATGCACCTGTGCACTGTGACAGTTTACTTCCGTCCGTTCTCCCAGCTATGAGTGTAGCGACATACGAGAGTATCGGATGTTCTTTTGCCATGAATTCCAGTTACATGCGCATGCGTTTGTCACCAGAGTGGGTTGCATTTGCTCCTTCATTTGTCTAGCATTATCACAAAATCTGAAAACACTCGCCGAGATTGGTCGTCCTGGAGATTTCCCAGGAGGAGGGGATGCAGGAGGGTGAAGCGGAGGAAGGGGAGAGGATGAAGAGGGGGGCCGGAAGCGGGCGAGAGCGGCCGGGCGGGTTAGACAAGCAGGTGCCGATGTCCGACTCGTTCGGCTATGCGGTGGTGGAAGAGTTGGCCGAGGATCGCTAGATTCTTTCTTCCGTCGTTGTGGCACCCAAGAATCCATCTGACTTCAAGCGCATGTTTCTCTGGCCGGAGCGGCGGCAGCGACAGCAGCTTGCGCCAGCCAGGCGGAGGCCTTCTGCTGGTCGGCCAGGGAGCTCTCTGTGCTCTCCTGTCGTCGTCGCTCCTCCCTGCGCCTGTCGCCCTCTCAGCGACGGGCCTTATCTTGGCGCCCATCCCACACCCCTTGGCAGACGGGGGCGCCGCGCTCCCCCGTGAAAGGTACCCCCTGGGGCAGCGGCGCCCCCGGCTCCCCAAGGCGCGGGAGCCGAAGGCCCAGGGGGCGGATGCTTTCCCGCGCCGGGGATTCGCCCGGCCCCTCGGGGACCCCCCGGGGGCCGTCCGGAAAAACACAGTCCGAAACATAGTCCCGCAGTTTTCGCTCCCCTCCCTGCGGCCGTCGCTTTTGGCTGCGCTCCCCTCCCCCTCGGTGCCTGGCCCTCGATGTGCAGTCGTCGCTGCGCTCTCCCTGCGCCCGCCGCTCCTGCTCGGCGGCGCCCCCTCCCCTCGCTCCCGCCCGGCCCCTGGCCCCCTCGTCCCGCGCCGCCTCCGCTCCGCCTGCGGTGCACAGTTAAAACGACGCGAAAATCGGGACAAAATCGGATCGGGATAACTCGAAATCTCTGAGAATCGGCGGGTTTGGGGGTTTCTGGAACGCTCTGAGAGGGCTCCGGAACGCTCTGGAGCGATTTGTCCCGATCCTAGCCCTGTTTCAGCACAGGCCTCCGGGCGGGCCCGGAGAGCGTGGCACGGGTGGCTCGATGCACCCCCCAGCAGTTCGCGCGGATCGCTTCCTTTGGGCTCTCGAGGCTTGGAGGAGGAGGAGGAGGAGGTGGCCTCAGAGATCGCCGGAGGCAGGCCCCATGGGCCCAGCAGGCCCCAGGGCGCTCCTGGATGCCCGAGAGGACCTCAGGAGGCCCCTTTAGTGGGCCCCGGAAACGGCAGGGCCGTTTTTTCACCGTTTTCGAAAAAGATATTCCTTGAAAATGGAAACGGCAAAACAACGGCGACCGGAAACGGCAACAAAACCGGCCTCCGAGTTGGAGCCCGAGCGGGAACCCGTGAAAGAACGGCGACGGAACCGGTAACAAAAACGGCGTCGGAAACGGCAAAAACACGGCAAAGCGGAACCGGTAAGAGAAACGGCCGTGTTGTTTCCAGGGCCCAGTAAGGGAGGCCCCAGGGGAGTTCCCTGCGGGCCCAGACAGAGCCCCGGCAGCGCTCCGAGCGCACAGCACCGGAGGGGCTCTCGAAACGAGCCCCAAGACGTCCCCCCACCAACGCTCTCGACGAATCCGAGGCTCCGCCCAACCAGGATCTTCAGGAGGGGAAGAGACACACGGACACAATGAGTTGTCGATTCGCCAGAAGGTATGGGAAACTATGGGAAGCGGTGGGGACGCAAGAAACCCAGAAAATATACGAAAATATAGGAAAATCTGGTTATTTGTGCCTATGTATTTGTGTGTCCCAGGGCCCCTTTAAATTTTCATATGTGGCTGGTCCTTCTCTCCGCGGTTGGCCAGGGGCCAGGGGCGGACCCGCGCCACATCGCCAGCCACCGCCAGTCCACGGGCGAGGAGGGAAGCGTTGCGACGCGGGGTAGAGGGAGGGATACGCACCTTCCCGGAGGGGAATGGGAGGGGGGATGCATTGCCGATCCGAACTCATCTGTGCTGCGATGACTGATGGTGTTACCGGGTGGGGAGGTGGCAGATGTGTAGAAAAGCAAGTGCCTGGCTACGAATGTGTACATGATGGGACGTGCTTCCCGTTATGCTTACCTGTGGCTGTCTCGCTTGTTCATTACCTAGAGAGCATGACGAAGAATCGTCGACCTTGTGTTGTTACGCGTCAATCAGTTCCGAATGCATGTTGGAATCAAGAACCAGAAGAACAGGAGCAAGCCAAAGATGGCGAGGAGGAGGAAAATCAATGTTATGCAGCAAATGCGTCAAGCTCGTCGTGCGGACAGAGACACGATGTGCATAGGGAAGCGCTGTCAAGGTGGAGCGCAGGAGTCTGCAGGAGTGCCGGTTCTTGAGCCGCCCGCCCTTGTCATTAATGGAGGATGACGATTAATAAATGACCGGGGGTCGTGTTCACGCGGCGGCGCCCGGGATGACGATTAGAAAAAACCGGCCGCGGGCTGGACAACCACTTGTCTAACCGTTCTCCCCCAGGCAGAAGGTAGTGCAGAAATAGCAGAAAACTATGTTTTAAATCGTTCTCTCCCATTATTTTTACTCCAGATTTCGTAGTAAAAGGGAGGGGGTCTGGACCCTCCAAGACAAGCCATTTCAGACCTCCCCCGTGGGAGAACCCTCCAAAACATCGTCCCCAGACCCCCCAGGCCCTCCAAGATAGCCTGGAAGAGACCCCCCCCGAAATGAGACCCCCCTCCCTTTATTACGAAATCTGGAGTATGAATCGTCATCCCGCATTATGGTGCCCGCCAGTTGTGCGCCGACGACGTCGCGCCTCCTGCCGGGGGAGCCGTGGGCGGTGCGGCGGACGGCGGCGGCGGTGCCGCGGCTGCCGCGGCGGCCAGCCTGACGGCCCTGATGAAGGACCTTCCCCCTCCTCCTCCTCCTCCTCCTCCTCCTCCTCCGCCGCCTCCTCCTCCTCCTCCTCAGGGCAGCCAGGGCGTGCGAGGCCAGAGCGCCAGGCGCAGGAGGGCACACGAGGGGGGGAGGAGGGCAGGAGGGAGGGGGGGGGAGGGGAATTGGGAAGGGGGGTTGGGAAGGGGGGTTGGGGTGGGGAGGGGGGGGGGAGCGCCGAGGAGGGGAGGCATCCCGCCAGGACTCTGCCAGTCGAAGCGCCTGGAGGCCAGTCGCGGGGGCTGCCCAGCGTCTCGCGGGGTGCTCCACCCCGCGGTCGAGCGCGTCAGCCCCCATCAGGAGGCACCCAGCGTGGCGCCCCTCGCCGGAGCCCACCATTGGCCCATTGGCGCACAGCAGCAAGAGCCAGAGAGGCGTGGTAAAGTGTTCCCATCCTTTGCCCAGGAGCACCACCACCCGCCGCCCCGAAAATCTGGCGGGGCATGTGTCACAGACTCGGGGGACATGCAGCGCTGGGCCCCAGGACCTCATGGATCATCAGCGATATGCGCGGGGGTTCTTTGTAGTGCGGCTGTCGTCAAACGATGTCAGACGAGTCGATCGTCGAAGGTGATCGAGGGTGAGGGGAGCAGAGCAGGCGGAGGATATTGAAGATGAGAACCAAGATCAGGAATTGGCCTAGATGATGAAGACGCCCTCTGTGATCATCATTGCCGACATGCCAGATTGGTCGATATCGATGGCCACCAGGCCTTCCGTGCCGGCCAAGACGGAAGTTGCGAGAGCCCCCCCCATGCTGCCATGCACGCGGAAGTGCCGGCGAAGATGGAGGCAGCCGCGGAGGCCGCCGAGGCACGAGCGGAGGCGTCGGAGCCGCACGACGTGCTGGATTTGGACTCAGCCCGGAGTGTTCGACGGTGCCCTCGACTCGGCGCAGGCTGGCTACGCGCGCCGGCGGGGCCGATACTCAGTGCCTGGGGCGGCGGCGTCGGCCAACTAGGACCTTCCTTTGCTGGCGTCAGGCACCTTTGCAGCCGAGGCGAGAGGGGATACGGCTGGAGCGTTCGCGGCTGCTGAAAGAAGCATGTTTTTCCGAACCATTCTGTGGTGTTGGGTCCTCGCTTTGAAAGAACAGTCCCCGTGTCTCCTTCCTCCTCTTGACTCCTCCGCCTCCTCCTTCTCTTCCTCCTCCTTCTCCTCCTCTTCTCTTCTATTCCCTGCCTCTGTACACCCCTCATGCGGATCGTAGCCCCACAGAAGGCTCCAGTGGCAGGGGTTGCATTGGGGCTCCGCGCCCATTTCGGTACACTCCTCACGAGGATCGTGGTCCGGTAACTAGGGAGATCCACAGAAGGCTCCAGTGGCAGGGGTTGCATGTGGGCTCCGCGCCCATTTCGGTACACCCCTCACGTTGATCGTCGTCCCGTAGGGAGATCCACAGGAGGCTCCAGTGACAGGGGTTGCATGGGGGCTCCTCGCCCACTTCGGTACACCGTTCAAGATGATCGTAGCCCCGTAGAAAGCTCCACAGAAGGCTCCAGTGGCAGGGGTTGCATGGCGGCTCCGCGCCCATTCCGGTACACCTCTCAAGAGTATCGTGGGCCCGTGGGGAGCTCCACGGCACACTGGAGGAGGATGAAGAGGAGGAGGAGGAGGAGGAGGAGGAGGAGGAGGAAGAGGAGGAGGAGGAGGAGGAGGGCGGGAGAGGGAACCTGAAAAGGCTCCCTGTCCCGCGGAACACTGCTGGAGAGACACCCTGAAAAGGCTCCCTGTCCGGCGGCGGGAGAAGAAACATGGAAAGGTTGTCTGCCTTCTCTCTAGATCCCTCTATGCTCTTCTTGTTTTCGATTTCGTCGTTCGTCCTTGTCTGATGTGTACAAGTTTTCTCAGTCTCGCTGTTTCGTGTGTGTGTGTGGGGGGCTTGCCTTCGGGCCCTGGGGACCTTCAGAATCGCCAGGATAAGGGCCCTCAGACCAGGATCCCGTCAAGAGATTCTGAACTGCACTGCCCCGCCATTTCCCCAAAGGGGACGGGGGGATCAGGGGCACGCACCGAGGAGTACGTTTTCCGATACTTCGGCTGGGACGGCGAGGAACAAGGGGGATGAGGGAGCAGCAGGAGGAGTGGGGGGAGGGGGGCGACGTTAAGGAGGAGGAGGAGGAGGAGGAGGAGGAGGAGGAGGAGGAGGAGGCGAAGGAGGAGGAATGGGATGAGGAGGAGGAGGAGGAGGAGGAGGAGCAGGAGGAGGAGGAGAAGGATGAGGACGCGAGAGAGTGGGAATGAGCCTCGGAAGCGCACACCCTTTGGTCGGAGGTGTCGGAGCCAAAGAGCTCCCCTGACGGAGGCAGGGACCGTTGGGCTTCCAGGGCGTCTCATTGTGTGGGAGCCCCCGCAGCCGGGGATGGCCGCCCAATTGCAGTGTCCTTCTCCAGGGGTCCGCTCGGTGCGCATGTCCTTCCCTCGAGCCATGGGCCTCCTCCCATGGGCACCCTGTTTTTGGGGTGTCGTCGGGCGGCTCGTTTCTTCCTGTCGTCGCCGTCGCTGCCGTCGTCGGCGCCGTCGTCGTCGTCCGTACTCGGGCACGCACATCTCCCGTGGGCCTATCTCAGCCTCCCCGGCTTGGGGCTGGGGGCGCCGCGCTGCGTTTCGGGGCGCGCGGCCGTGACGCGCACCACTCCAGCGAAGCGAAGAGGGAGCGGGAGTACGAGGAGGAAGTTGGAAAGAGGAGGAGGAGAGGAAGAAGAGGAAGATGTGGCTTCTCGGCGGGGGCTGGACCTGTCAGCACCGGCGCCTCCCCCCCCCCTGCCCCGCCCTTGAGCCCCCGAAGGAGCTGGACTTGTCCGAGCCGCGAAACGCCAGCAGTGAGGTCAAGGCCAAAGCCGAGGCTGACCAGCATCCTGCCCCCTCGTCGTGCTCCTGGTCCTGCTCATCCTTCTCGCTCGTGTTGCTCCGTCCTGCTCCTCTGTCCTGCGCCTCCGCCTCCTCCTCCTCCTCCTCCTCCTCCTCCTCCTTCTCATCATCCACTTCCTCCTCCGTCCCGTTCCTGTTGCAGCAACCCTTGTTAGCGGTAGTTCTGCCAATGAGAGCCCGTCCTCGCACCCAGCTGCGATTCTGAGATTACCTCTTGCCCCTGCTGCTGCTGCTCCTGCTGCTGCTGCTGCTGCTGCTGCTGCTGCTGCGACGGCTCCCAGCCGAGCAGCGCTTCCTCTGTGGCGCGACGCGCGCCCGCCCAGTTCCCAGAGGCTTCGGCAAGGGGGGGGAGGGCCCAGCCACGCCAGACGTCGGAGATCGGGGGGCAGGCTGACAGCGGGGCCAGACGGGAAACAAACACACGGAGCACGGGGAGCAGCAGGGGCGGGGGGGACGAAGAGTGGGGGGACGGAGGACGGAGAGTGGGAGTATGAGGAGGAGGAGGAGGAGGAGGAGGAGGAGGAGGAGGAGGAGGAGGAGGAGGAGGAGGAGGAGGAGGAGGAGGCAAGCGAAAGGAGTATGTGGTTGCAGAGCCCCGGTCAGCCTGTCCTCCTGCGCCTCTCTATGCACGCCCTTGTGCGCCGCCATATCGGTTCACAAGGGCCCATGGGTTATCATGGCGCATCGGTGACGGACGCGCCCACGCCTCCGTAAAAGGAGAGAAACATGTTTTATTTTGCACTGGTCCTCCCAATTGTACCTCGTGTGTCTCTCTATATCCATACCGCCACACCCGTACAATCCACAGTGGCAGCGGAGCCTGTGGTTGCGATCCACGAAGGGAGTCAGGACGACTCCCTTGTCATTCGATTGTCGGGTGAGATCTATACTATGTTTCTCCCGTTCTTCCCGCTCTCGACCCCGTTGCACCGAGCGCCGCCATGGATCTTCCAGACCACGCTCAGCTTCAATGAGATGCATTCCTTGCAGTTCCGTGGCTTACAACCAGACCAGGACCCTTGGGCAGGAGCTGGAGGACGACAAGACGTTCCTTGGGAAGGTGATGACGATGTGGGCTGGTCAGGGCAGGACTGGGCCCGCTGGCTATCACAGCCACGGACGGAGACACAACCCAATACGCAACAATCCTCATCGGATTGGACCGGGCGGGGACGCGGTTTGCCGGCTGCGCCAGATCGGCAGAACACGCCTCTGCGAGGACAGGCTATGCCTTTCATGCTTTTTCTCCGACTTATTGGGAAGAGGCCACTGCCCGATCTTCTGATCGCCAACGGGGGCAGTTTCCTGAACAATCGGAGGATCCAAAGATACCAAACGACCGACCTCCTACTTGGGATGGAACAGATCCAGATCTCCGCCTAGACCCCTACATGGAGGAGCTGCAGATGTGGTTCGCGACCACCGGATTTTTGATGGCACAACGTGGATACCTCGTTCACCGTTATGCCAAAGACGGTTTCCATATCATGATTAACGAAGTCATTCAGGACCACTTGTCCGCCGAGGACGGCGGGCAGGTTGCAATGAAACACATCCAGGAGGGTTTTGCCGAGTGCTGGGGCCGCATGATGCCGAAGGTTTGTGAGGCGCTTTTCTTTTTAGAAGATACCAAGCGAAAGCGAGAGGAATCTCTGGTCAAGTATATCGCGCGAAATCGCGCGCTCTTCCGAGAACTCGAGCCACGCGTGGCCCTGCCGGAGGGTTTGAAAAAGGGTGCATGTTTTTGAGCGAATCCAAGCTTAACGACGCCGCTTGGGATCCGGTTGAGCCCAGTGCCGTGCATCATGCGATTTTGATTTGGCGTGCGCGAAGCCTCGGTAGCTTGAACGACCGTTGCCTTCTGGCAAAGCCGGCCATTGCGTCCACGGCATGAGTTCCTCCTCGCATGTTGTCGCACATCAAGGAGATGATGGCGGATGAGAGGAACAGAAGTCGGACCGCGACGAAACCCATAGGATTTTCACGCAACAGTCCTTGCATACTCTGCCCGAGGCCTACGAGGAAGAGGGGATCATGAGCGAGGCCAGCAGGCACGTGAACGATGACGAGGTGCTCTTCGCGGCTGGAGACTTGCCCGACGGCGTGGTCTTGGCAGGTGGTTGAAGATGAGGCCGTCGCCATCTATGCTAACTTTTGTCAGGTACGACAGTACGTACGCAAGCGGAACCTTGGACGATGATTTTTCAAACAGCAACCCCCCAAGGGAAAACCCAAAAGCTCCCGAAAGGGAAACGTCGAGGGAAACGCACGGGACATGCCCGACCGAAGCGGTGGACCAACAGCAAGTTGATGAGTCGCTCGAAGTGCGCCCGACGTGGGAAGATGGGGCACTGGGCTCGAGGCCACCAGGCGAGCCCGACGAGCCAGGGCGCAAGCGACGAGCAGGCTTCGGCGGTTCTCAAGCAGTCCCTTTCGAAGCAGATGATGCGCTGCATGGCGCTTGCCAACCGGGCCCTGCGATCCAGTCGTTGACCTTTCCTATCTGTGCTACTACCGCAACAGGAGGTCAGGTTTCCATTGGACTTCAGGTTCAGATGGGTTTCGGTTCGGTGGATCTCGGAGCTCACCACGGAGCGCGCGGCAACGAACACTTCGAGAACATTGTGGAGTCTATTGGGGGTGCTTGCGGTCTGAAGCCCATGCAGACACCTTCCTTGGAAAAAAAGGAAACTTCCTTGGAAATTGATGCTACGGGCGTTGGGCGACCTGCCAAGTTTATTTCCAGCTGTGCGCTGCCTATCGCCGTGGCGAACTCTGTTATTCTCGCGGTGTATTTGATCGCCCGTGATGTGCCCTTACTTCTGCCAGTGGAGATGCTCGGACAGCTTGGCGTGGTTCTTGATCTACCAGGCTGCGCCATCACTTGGAAGGTGCTCGACGGCGGCCAGTCGAGAGTCTATGGGGTCGGGGCAAGCAAACGCATTGCGATCCATATTGGGTTTTCCCGGGGCAGGTTGGCAGGCCAGGGGGGGAATTAGAACGGTCTCTCCCAAGACGCAGGGGCGCCGCCAAGTGGCCGGGCCTGAGGGCGCCGCATTCTACGCGAATCCGCGGGCGCCCTCGGCTCAAACTTGTCTTTCTCGGCCAGCGGCCTGCCCCCCCGACGCCCCGCGCAGCGTCGAACCGCGCGGGGCGCGTTCTCGCCGAGCAGGGCGCCCCCCCCGGTTAGAACCTCCGACGCGGCCCAGTCAGCCCGCGACGACCCCGGAGGAGCGGACGTGGAAATGGAAGCAGTTATGTCTGAAGTGGCGCTCCATCGTGGACCGCGCGGCCATGGGGCGCCGCGCGGAGGCCCGCGTCGGAGCCAGCGCCTACAATGGCCTGCTCTGGGGCGCCGGGGGCCTGGACTAGGAGGCGGCGCCCTCGACGCGCCGCCCTCGGGGCCCGCGACCCTTCTCTCTCCCGAGTTCTGAAGATCAGCAGCGGGGGGCGGTTCGCGGCGGGCAAGAGGCTGGAGGCCGACGGCTCGGGCACCGAGAAGACCGACCAGTCCTCGTCCGCGCGCCCCGTGGCGGGCGCGCGACGACTGCCGCGCGCGCTGTGCGAGGCCCCCGATCGACGGCTTCATTGGCGCGGGCGCCCCAGACCACATGGGGCGCGACATTGGGGGGCGGGCTGCACATTCATGGAAATGTACGGGGTGGACTTCCGGCGCCGCGAGCGGCGCACGAGGGCCCGCGAGCCGGGCGACCCGGCGTCGCATCGGCATCTCCGACGCTTGGCCACGCGCGCGGCCGAGCGCGAGAGGCGCGATAACATCGTGGGCTGGGGCGTTTTCCAGGCGATCGTGGAGGAGCGCGACGCCCGATGGATTCGTGGCCAGAAGATTTCTTCAATGGTCGCTGGGCACATATCCGAGCGCATCGGCGACCCCGCGGCACTCTTTGATCCGACCGAATCTGTCGGCCCCCCATCTGCAGGCGATTTCGCCAACGAGCGGCTGATCGGGGTTTCAAATTCAGATGGCACGACCGACTTGATTCAGGATGCTTGGTCTGGACCGTCTTCTGATCGCATTCTGAACAATGGAATGGCCGTATCCTCTTTTATCGCAAAGCTGCCGCTGACATGGCGCTCGCTGGTGCGCTGCTGGCAAGCATCTGTCCTCAGAGTACTCGTCTCAGTCAGGTTGGGCAATTCATTTCTCCAGATGCTACCAGTGTAAGCCTGGCTGGCCCGGTATTTGGTAAGCGCGCGGCCGTGCTCCGAGGCGTTCCAGGTGGTTCCTGGCGATCCGCCACTCCGCTGGTCTCGGTCGAAGCGGCCGATGCGAGCAGAGGAGAATTGCCACTGAGTGCGTGCCAGAACACCAATGGAGCTGACACTTCATCTTCGGATCTCGATGAAGACGGCATTGGAACGATCCCCCAGCAACAGGCCAAGCAGATCATGCAGGCACCTTCCGTGAACAATACAAGTATTAGTCTTCCTTTGGAAGCAGCTCCTGAAGAAGATTGGCCCGGAGAAATTCCCGCTGGCGATCCCAGCGCCGAGCCCGGCAGCGATGATGAAGTACCTGCTCAGCCAGACTGGGCACCAACTGCGGATCAGGCGGCCGACCTTTAATTTGCCCGCGACAACTCTGGTCGCCCCGGGGATCGAGACGTCGCTCGACTTCCTAGACGGGGACACGCAAAGCCTGCGGTCGCACGCTGGGCACTGGGAAGCTTTAAGTGCGACGAGTGCGATGCGCGCGAACGACCATATGCTCGTGGTCCTGCTGATGTTCCTATGTCTTATCGATTCAACCATGTTGTTGGCATTGTTTCGGTCGAGGTCAAGTGCCCCCTCGGTGATGCAATGCATCTTTGGATCGATTGCACCTGTTGGGGGCACTTCGTTTCAGCTAGTTGGACATGTGGGGGCAGGGCAGTCAGCAGATCTAGAATGGCAAGCATTTGCACGCACATGGGCGCGAGTGTTTGGCATGCGAGAAGTTGTCGCAGTTGATCC